AATATGGAGAAGATGGATTGTTTATATCTAAAAGAAGCATAGAGTGGTGGAATATAATTTAAGTTTTTAGTAAATTTGCTTTTTTTTTTTCTTTTATATTTTACCTACTCATGTAGAATAATATACTTTGTGGAGTTAGAGATATTAATATTTGTTTACTTATATTTGAATATTATCCTGGGATTAGGTTTGGGAAGTCTGGGGGGGTGGGGGCTGGGTTTTCTTACAGTATTGTGTAATATTTGTGATGTTTTTTTCTATGATGAAAAATAATAAAAATTTTATATTGAAAAAAAAAAAAAAAGATACAGAAGGATCTGGACAGAATTGAACACTGGGCACTATCTAACAAAATGAAATTCAATGGTGAAAAAAGCAAGGTTCTACATTTAGGCAAGAAAAACCAAGTGTACAGGTATAGTATAGGGGGTACCTTGCTCAATAGTAGTAACTGTGAGAGGGACCTCGGAGTCTTAGTGGACAATCACTTAAATATGAGCCAGCAGTGTGCTGCAGCTGCCAAAAAGGCCAACACAGTGCTAGGCTGCATTAACAGAGAGATAGAATCAAGATCACGTGAAGTATTAATACCACTTTACAATGCCTTGGTAAGGCCACACTTGGAATACAGCATCCAGTTTTGGTCACCGCAATGTAAAAAAGATGTTGAGATTCTAGAAAGAGTACAGAGAAGAGCAACAAAGATGATCAGGGGACTGGAGGCTAAAACATATAAGGAACGGCTGCTGGAATTGGGTATATCTAGTTTAATGAAGAGAAGGACGAGGGGGGACAGGATAGCAGTGTTCCAATATCTCAGGGGTTGCCATAAAGAAGAGGGAGTCAAGCTATTCTCCAAAGCGCCTGAAGGCAGGACAAGAAGCAACTGGTGGAAACTAACCAAGGAGAGAAGCAACCTAGAACTAAGGAGAAACTTCCTGACAGTTAGAACAATTAACCAGTGGAACCACCTGCCTCCAGAAGCGCTGAATGCTCCAACACTGGAAGTTTTTAAGAAGAGACTGGACAGCCATTTGTCCGAAATGGTATAGGGTTTCCTGCCTGAGCAGGGGGTTGGACTAGATGACCTCCAAGGTCCCTTCCATAGAATTTGGAAGGGTCTATTTAGATAATAAAAAAGATGCTAAGACCCTAAAAACTGTATAGAGAAGAGCAACAAAGATGATAAGAGATCTGGAAGCTAAACCATACGATGAATGGTTGAGAGAATTAGGTCTGTCCAGTGTAACAAAGAGAAAGACTAGGGGTGACATGATAGCAGTCTTCCCAATATTTGAGGGGCTGTTACAGAGAAGAGGGGGTCGACCTATTCTCCAAAGCGCCTGAAGGCAGGACAAGAAGCAACAGATGGAAACTTATCAAAGAGTGGTCCAGCCTAGAGCTAAGGAGAAATTTCCTGACAATGAGAACAATGAATCATTGGAAAGGCTTGTCTCCTGAAGTTGTGGGTGCTTCAATATTGGAGGTTTTCAAGACGAGATTGGACAGCCATTTGTCTGGTAGGTCTGCTCAAGCAGTAAGTTGGACTAGAAGACCCCCAAGGCCCCTTCTGATCTTGTTATTCTAGATTCTAGATCATCTGTATTCTTGATCAGGGATGGGAACCAAGTTAAAACACTCTTGATCATGTTTTTTTTTCGTTTTTTGTTTTAGCTTCGGCTTGAATGCCTCTCCCAAAAGACAGCTCATCCCCTTTTTAGGTCATGAGTTCTTCTAACTGTTCTTACCGTTAGGAAATCTGTATGTAAATGGAGAGAAAAATAATAATAACTCCATTGTTCTCCTGCCTCAGATGCAAAGTCACACTTCCTGTTTGAAGAAAGACACTCTGGTCATACATGGTGCCTTCACTCCATCAATATCCCATCTTTGCTACACACCAGAGCTTTCATTCATGCAGAGGTTTCAGATTCAATGATCAATATTAGTAAGGACACAATGGCTGTATTCTCCAAAGAACAAATTAAAAGCCAATGCTTTACATTGCCTTGTAAACCTCGTAATGCAACACTGCTAAAGTGTGGCGTTATTAGAAGAGGCCTGTTTTCTCCATCCTGCTTCTAATGATACGAACTGGAGACCATCTAACCCCTTTCCCCGGCAGTAAGTTTATTTGAGGCATATTGAAAAGAAATTCAAAATAGTCTGGCAATGAACAGATTAAACATGTACATTCTCCTGGCTTTATTCTCACTTGGTTAGGGTTTATCCTTTGCCTATCCAATGTTCTTATTTTCCCTTTGAGATCACACATGACCAGTCCAAAGAATTCTTCTTGAATTAACCAAGGTGCTTCTGCGTTTGCTTCACGTATCCAAATCCATTGCTGGAACTGTGTCCTGCAAAACAACGGTTGGAAAAAAACAAGCGATAAAAATAGGACATCTAAGTTAATTTTGAGATTTTTTTTTAGGAAATGGCAAGATGAACTAGCTCCTTTCCACTAAAACAATCTGATTTCCTGTAACATATTTGTTTGGCTCTTGTTTCCAGATCCCCCCCCCCTAATATTCTGGCCTCAGACTGGTCTCTTCAACCCAAGGATCTATTTCCTGCTTATTATGCTAAGATGGAATGTTGAAGGATTATTTGAAGGTAGACCTTGACTTACAAGCACAATTGGAACCAAGATTTCTGTCGTAAGTTGAATCGGACACAATGTTACAATCATTTTTTATGATAGTCATTAAGTGAATCCATAGTTGGCAAGCGAACACTACAGTTGTAAGTGTGAATCCATTCTTCTGAATAGGTGCCAAAAATTGGCAGAAAATGGTGATCATGGGACCCTGGGACACTGTAGCTGGTTGTAAGTGTGAGCTGGTTGCCAAGTGCCCGACTTGTGATGGTGTGATAATGGGGATGTGTGATGGTCATAAATGCCAGGACCAATCGTAAGGAGGACTGGACTTTTTTCAGCACCGTTGTAACTTTGAACGTCAAATATTCAACAAACGGTAATAAATTGAGGATCACCTATATCAACAACCCTTCTAGATCCATGTTCTTCAAATTGCTGCTCCTCAGAAATATGATTTAATCATGATCTGCCTTTTTAGTGCTGGAACTTACCAAAATAGTCCTTGTAGTATTTGGGTCTTAGATTCCATCCATCTGGAAAAGGAAAAAGAAATATCAACTCAGCGAAGCTTAAGTATCTTCACAAATGACTATGTGGCACAGCTAACAAGCATGGTGAGCATTCTTTTCTTCAAATTGCTTTAAAAAGGAAATGACAAAATTTTGTTGTGAACTACCCAGGGGATGCTAGTTGTGCTTTAAGTTGTGAGACAAGGTTGCACAGAGGCATTTCTGGTCTCTGGAAACCAAGAAACCTGGAGAATTATAGTAAGAAACAGCATTGTTTTATTTTAGTTTTTGTATCAACTTCCAAAGGTAATTCCACACCTGGAGCTATCTAAATTATGAAATGTGGAGACAGGGCAAAAATGGGTTTCCTCAACTTTTTCTGCATCTTAGGTCTAGTTCTTCTTCTCCACCACCTCTTCTAGGACAACTTTTAATGAACACAATTTCTCTACCTCTGTCTTTTGAAAGAAATCCTTATGAATGTAACTTTAAGATACTATCTTGCGTGGCCATGATTTATGGGCTCAGATGCTTCACATTCATGCCAGTAACTCACCGGAGTTCCCACGTAGCTTGATGCACTGCCCCTGGTTGGGGATGCCCTCGGCGGCATTCCCGGGATGGATGATGTGGCATTCAAATCCTGTTGGACAATGCAGGGGGTCATCTCCATCCTCAGTGGTGCTGCATGTTTCAGCTATGGAAACAAACATCTCAAGATCAATGAAGGTCCATCATGGCACGTTGGAGCTACTACTGCTGTGGTTCTACTACTCTACCTTGTAGGACTTCTTCTGGTCCATCCAAGAGCCAGCCATTTCCACCCAACCAGCGAGGTTTGGGCTGAATCAGCCAATCTAAAACTTTTCAATGAAAACAGACAGAATATCTCTTATTATGAAGAAGAAGCATCAATAAAGGAGAATATTTGTACCTCAGGGTTGAAATGAGAGGTCCTTGGTGCTCTCTGAGCTTGGTGGTTTTCTTGCAGACCTTTCATTACCCAAACTTGGTAACATCATCAACATCAACTAGATTAGCCCCGATGATGTTACCTAGTTTGGGTAATGAAACGTCTGCAAGAGAATAACCAAATTCAGAGACCACCAAGGAAGAAGAAGCTTTTAACAAGATGAACAGAAGAGACCATGCCAGTGGGTTACACCATGCTGTAACCATTATTTGATGATCTATGCCATGCTAATGGTTCCTGTTCCTGTGCATCTTTCATCCCTTTTGTAGAATCCCATAATACTGTAGCATCTTGGAAAACAACTAGGTCTACCAGCTTAAAGAGATGCTTCCATCTATCTTACACCCATCCTGGCGAAGGACTTACAAGAACAATTAAAAAAAAAGCAATATCCAAGACCTTTGTTTTGGGATATAGCAAGTTGCAAGGATCCCATCGGCCAAGTGTCCTTTGGACCTACTGTGATAGCATCTCCAGCATGAGCTATTATGGGCTGATTTACCTGGGGGTGGTGGCACCGATTCTAAACAGGCATAGATGCATCCATTATAGCAACAGCGTTTGTGCTTCTCGCATTCAGAGTCCGACCGACAGCTGGGTGCTTCACATGCTCGTTCTGGCAAGGTCTGTGATGGTGGTGGACACCGGTCATTCTTCTGGTAGTGTGCACTATGGGGATGAAGAGAGTCCTCATAATCCTGGAAGAAAGCAGATCTTTTTACTCGATCCCCCTTCAGCATTTTTCAAACACATTCTCCCATCCTTTTCTATCAGACTTACTACACACCTGTTCACCTTTGCAACCTGACAGATTGTTCAACGTTTTCACCAACCGAGGGATAGAAAGCTCGCAGGGAGACAATGCTTTTTCTTCTGAAAGATTTTGAGAATTGTGTCTAATGCTTAGATATTCCACAAGGTGGCACTGGCTGGCAAGGACAATTCGGCAGAGCCCTCAGCTTGAGGATGGCTCCATACCCAAACTGACCCATCCGCGGGTTCTTGAAAAGTGAAAAACACCAGAATGCGGATTAAATTTCATATGTTTGCCAAAGGAGATGACTGACCTTTATTGATTTTTAGCAGTATTTGCAACTGGGGAACAAACCAACAGATTGAGAAATGATCTGCAAACTCTCACCCAACATGGGCAGGGCAAGTTGTTATATCTAAACATGGCGCAAACTCCACACTCACACTAGCACTGATGATGTTGCCTGGTTGGGTAATGAAATGTCTGCAAGCAAACCACCAAGCTCAGAGAGCACCGAGGATTCACAAAAAATGTACCCTGATGAGAAGTTACCTGGTACAAATTCTTTGAAACAAATATGTGGTCACTAAGCCCAGAGAGCCCCAAGGACCCCACAGTTCTCCTTCTCCTCCTCCTCCTCCTCCTCCTCCTCCTGCTCCTCCTCCTCCCCCCCTGCAGCACTGATAATGTTACCTAGTTTGGTAATGAAATGTCTGCAAGAAACATCTGCAAGAAAACATCTGCAACAGAGCGCACCAAGAACCCCATAGTTGTTGTCATCATTGTCCTCCTCCTCCTCCTCCTCCTCCTCCTCCTTCTCCTCCTCCTCCTCCTCCCTGCAGGAGGAGGAGAAGGAGGACTGTGGGGTCCTTGTTGCTCTCCACATTTGGTGGTTTACTTGCAGACGTTTCATTACCCAACTAGATAATGAAACAATTTGCATTGTTCCCAAATGCAAATACTGCTAGCACTCCCTTCTTCCACTGATGATGTTACCTAGCTGGGTCATGAAACGCCTGCAAGAAAACCTCCCAGCTCAGAGAGCACCAAGGATCCCCGCAGTTCAACCCTGAGGTACAGGTATTCCCTTCTATTGATAATTGGTCTGTTCTTACTTGTTCTCCGGCCTCTTCTGTGGCAAAACGTCATGCTAAGTTAAAACCTTTCAATCAGGAGCATGGGTCTCTTGTTTGCCCCCCCTGAATGGCGCCAACATCTTCAAGGTCAGGTCACTAAATTTGACTTCACAGCTTTCTCCTACTTTGGTCCACATTCTCTCCTAATTAACCAGAGGCATCCTGAGTATTTTTGCTAGCTCAGGGATACGCGGATGACATGTCACCAGGAATAAAAATCCTTTCAAAAGGATTATTGCTAATCTTTTCAGATGAGAAAGATTATATCCTACAGAGCCTGGGCACACACTCAATTTAGAGGAACATTATTCCTATTAGATTGGGCAATTCCTCCAAGCGATGTGAGCAGACGTTTTTACCCAGCACATGTAAATAACATCCAAGCACACATTTTTGAATTTGCTGTGGTTCAACAACCTTCCCTTCAGGTGGATTTTCTATAACTCTCATCATCCTGGAGTGAAACAGGCTGGAGAAGATTTTAGCGTTGCAAGAACATTGCCAAATGGCCTTATTTGTACATTCCTTCTTTATTCTGTGATCTCTCCAGCTGCCTTTGGCCTCTGAAATTTAATCCTTTCAGAACAATTTTAAATTTAGAGACTGTACAATTCTCCAAGTAGCTGAGAAGTGTTTTTCACAACTTTAGTATTTATGGAAAAATTATCTGGAAAAGCTTCAGAAGCATCTCTGCTGCATCTTGCAACTCACAATGTTATGATAGGAAGGAAAATTCTAGGGTCTATATCAGCAGTCCCCAAACTTGGCAATTTCAAGACTTGGGGACTTCAACTCCCAGACTAAAATATAGGACTTAGGTTTGGCTAGTCTAAAGAAAACAAGGACTAGGGGTGATGTGATAGCAGGATTCCAGTATTTGAGGGGCTGCCAGAAAGAAAAGGAAGTCAAATTATTCTCCAAAGCACCAGAGGGCAGGACAAGAAACAATGGATGGAAACTAATCAAAGAGAGAAGCAATCTGGAATTAAGGAGAAACTTCCTAACAGTGAGGACAATTAACCAGTGGGACAGAAGTTGCTTTCAGAAGTTATGGGTGCTCCAACACTGGACACTTTTAAGAAGGGACAATCACTTGTCTCAAATGGTATAGGGTCTCCTGCTTGAGCAGGAGGTTGGACTAGAAGACCTCCAAGGTTCTATTCTGTTCTGTTCTGTTCCATTCTGTTCCATTCCATGTACATTTAAAGTGACAATAAAGTTCTATTCCAGTGGTGGCGAACCTATGGCACAGGTGCCAGAGGCAGCACTCAGAGCCCTCTTTGTGGGCACACGCGCTGTCGCCCCAGTCCTAGGCCTTCAGCTGGGTTTTATAAAACCTTTTTGCTTTAGGCCTCTGCCACTGTGTGCAAAAAAAAAAAAAAGGTTCAATCAATCAGTCAATTTCAACTTCTTGCAGGAAAAAAAAAAGATCTTGCAAAGTTGGAATTGATTTATTGAACCTTTTAGTCCCACCCAGTCTGCCGTTACCACCGCAGCCATGCCCAGCCAATGGGCCACACCCACCCGGTACCCGACGAAGCATAAGTGGGTTTTGGGTTGCAGTTTGGGCACTCGGTCTCTAAAAGGTTCGCCATCACTGTTCTATTCTATTCTATTCTATTCTATTCTATTCTATTCTATTCCACTCCACTCCACTCCACTCCACTCCACTCCACTCCACTCTACTCTCCTTAGCCAGCCATTTAAGTCCACAAGTCTTGAAATTGTCAAGTTTGGAAGTCCCCGGTCTATAATTACAGGTAGTCCTCGACTTATGATTATTTGTTTAGTGACTGTTCGAAGTTATGACAGTGCTGAAAAAAGTGACTTATGGCCAATGCTCACACAATTTTAGTGTCACAGTGTCCCTGCAGTCACGTAAATGCAATTTGAGCTATTGGCCACTGGCTTGCACTTAAGGCAATTGCAGTATTCTGCAATTACAGGATTACTGTTTTTCAACCTTCCTAGCCAGCTTCCGACAAGCAAGTCAACACGGAAAGGCGGCAGGGAAGGCGGCTTTAAGGACTGCAGCGATTCGCTTAATGACAACGGGAAGAAAAGGTCATCAATTGGGTGTGGTCATATGGTGCTTCTCTTCAGGACTCCCATAACTTGGTTAATCTATGAAAGTTAATCCTAGAGTCTGTCACTAGGGGTCTCCCTTTGCATCTTTGTTAATATTGTAGAAACTAAGCAGGCTGAGGAATAATCAATACACCATCAAAAAGCATCCATGTACTCACTCATTCAATAGAATTTCTGTTATTTATGTATACAGATCTAAAATAAACTAGATTCTCCAGAAAAAATCCCTTCAAATGTTCTTTTTGGGTTCAGTGGAGAACACCGTTCCTCCACTTTCCACACACACACACCCTCTCTCTTTTTAAAAAAGTTTTCATTCTTGAAAATTCTCAGGGCTTCTTGTTACAAAGAGAGGAAACAGTCTTTCAAAGAAACAGCGATAAAAACACCTTGGCATTTTAACCTCAAACAATTCTCCAGGCACTTTGGGACTTCCACCTGCTCCATAGTTGGTTTCCTCCCTTGGGAAACCAACTCCACCCAACATCCCACCGTTCTGGGTTGGTGCCACAGCTTCCTTAAGGCTCCCCAAGAATCAGCTCGGAGCCTCTTTGAGATGGGGTCTCGGGAAGATGTGTGAAGAACATCACAGAGACTGTTGTAAAAAGGAGCCAGGTTGTATCTGAGCACACAATGGGAGAGTCTTGCCTGGAACTCTCCAAAAAGATTTGATATATTTGGTTGAGGCCCCTTCGCCAGGGAAATTCCTGGCCAAAACCCCTGCACATGTTCAGAACAGCATTTGGAAAAATGCGTAAATTTTGGTACAATTTTATCACCAGCAGATATGGGTGTGGGATGTGATGGAATAGAATTAGAATTAGAATTAGAATAGAATAGAATAGAATAGAATGACAGAGGTGGAAGGGACCTTGGAGGTCTTTTAGTCCAACCCCCTGTTCAGACTGACCCGTATTAAGAAGATATATATGTGTCTGCAAAGTAGATGGCAGCCACAAACCATGTGTAATAATAAAATGAGTTAGCATTTTAGGCATCACAAACTTTTGGATGGACTGATTATTGGCCAATATTAGTAAACTGTTCTCCTAAAAAGAATTCCGTTCTATTCTGCAGTTTCAGAATCAGAGTGAACACATACTTCAGAATAAGTTTCTCTCTGATTCTCTTAGGATTTATATTTGAAGAAATATGTACTGTGTTGATACATATTTAACTTCTGCAAACATTAAAACAGTCCAGAAAGCATATAAAGGTAAGATTTCAGTTATTGAAGCTATCAAAACACTCATCCATAAATTAAAAACAATAAATGCACCATAACCCGGTGTATAATTAAACTATAGTTCAACTTGGGCAAGTAAGGAAAAGAAATCACAAATTATCACCCTAAATTCCACAACTATTACTTTTTTAAAATTGAATAGGCTAAGATAATTAGCAGCATAGTTAATTAAAAAGAGAAATGTAAAGTATCACAGCGGAGAAGATGCTTAGCTGCTATCCACTTACGTACTTATATCTAAGTACATAAGTGGATAGAGAAACCGTATCAAGCTGGCATCCGGTTCCTTTGTGGAAACAGAAAAAGTGAAATAAAAAGAAAAAAAATGCACTTCTCTAAGGGGGTCTTTGCTTGATTAGACCACATCCCTTTGGGCAGAGAATATTTATCCAGATGTGTGCCAAACAACAAAACTCTACACAAGCCAGAAGCACTTAAGTTTTGTTAAACTCTCTGAGTTTTTAAGATTTGGCACAGAGAAAAGGTATGACGAGCAAAGACTTGATGGGGATGGAAAGTCCAATGAATTCAGAACTTTTGAAGACAGATGTTGACAGAGTTTAGCCAAGTGTGGAAGCTTCTAATCACTGGAGAGAAAACTGAAAGACTTGCGAGTTTTCTTTCCTTCAAAGACTTGCAAACTACCTTGAAGCCTAACCGTAAACCCAACACTCCATGCATATTGTTACACCTTCAGCAGAAAGTTGGACTAAGTGACCTCAGAGGATTCCCGCAACGGACTACAGTTCTACCATTCCCTTTTCTTGATTGGCAGCTTTTACTTACGTCGTACTTCTCCACCAGCTTCAGCGGTGAAGCCTTCAGTTGTCTTCTCCAGCGCCTCTTTGCATAGTTCCAGGGCGGGTAGAGCAGAAACACCAGGCATAAAGTAGTTGTAAAGAACGTGGTGCAAAAATGCAGTTTGCCTCCCATTCTACCTTCTCCTCCAGCTGTCTTTTGGCACCCTATCAACAACAACAAGAACAAATGAAAATGAAAATTGCAAACTCCCTCGTGGAGGATGAAATTTGCTTCAGATTTCTTTGTGGGAGAAAAGAGAAAAGAAAGACAGGCTGAAATGTTCCCTCCCAGACAGTTTGTCCTTAAAAGGGTTCAAGTCTGGGGCCAGAAAGGATGCTGCTGCCTTGCCAATAAGTTTCTTGCTCCAAGTTGGATCCCTTTCTCCAATCTTGCGATTGCTCCCAAGTGGAGTCCCCCACCTCTCACCGCCACTCAACTTTCTAAGGAAAGATTATTTTTAGACCTTTGTCTGAACATCTGGCTCTCCTAAAGGACCCACAGAGAATGAGAGCAAGAGAGAGGGAGGGGGCCATTCAAATCCAGAGGGGGAGAAAGGATCGGATGTCAGCTGCTGTGAGCGAAGAAAAGGAGAAAGCTGGGAAAATAATAATAAGGATGTGATAAAATGCTCTCCAAGGAATAGGAAGGACATGTTGGAGCAAACAGCTTTTCCAGGCAAGTCCATCACAGCTGTTAAGGACCTTTTATTCTTCCTAATTTGCTTTTATTTTATTTTTTAGAGAGAGAGAGAGAGAGAGAGAGAGAGTGAGAAAGAGAGAGAGAAAGAGAGAGAGAGAGGTGTAACCAGTGCTTTTTTTCAAAAAAAAAAAAAAAAAAAGGTGCCGGAACTCACACACGTCATACAACCCACCTTGCCTACCTTACAAGATTCCATCAAAAAAAGGTGCCGGAACTCTGTTTTGGGCATTGTATGAAAAAAAAAACGCCCTGGATGTAACCCTTTTATTTTATTTCATGTTGTGGGGTAGCCAAAGACTTTTGAAAATCTTAGAGTCCTGCAAGGAATCCAGAAGATTTTTTTTTATCATCTTCTAGTTGGGCCAGAAAACACCAGAGAGAATCAGAAATGGTTGGAATAACCATTTCCAAGAAACAGGAATAAAATCGAACCTAGCTAAAACCAAACAGCACCGGTTGATTTCTATATTTTGATTTGCACTTCTGATGTGCTTTTAATAATGCATCTGTGTCAAGAAAAATCCTAATCTCAGACAGACAAAGAACAAATCTCTCTTTATACAGATAGTCCTCACTTAGCAACTGCTTCGGACAACAACTGTTCACATTTATGACGATGATGAAAAAAAAAAACCACTTTGTGACCGATCTGTGGATTTACCACCTTGGCAGGTCTATAAAGCAAAGGAAAACTGAAGTAAGATCATAAGCACAGTCATATTAACACTTAACAACTGCTTTGCTTAACAGCCTAATTGTTGGTTTCAGTTGTAGCCACTAAATTTAGATTCCCTGTATTATTAAGCACTGTATTATTGTATTCTTTTTTTTTTGCTGTTTTCTTTTGGTTGGTTTGTAATCTTTTGCTTGTCTCCCAGCTGGTGAGATAGGTCATTATATAACTCAGTTTAACAAACAAACTTTATAACATTTTAGGGTTTTCTTGATAAAACAACGATTGTTAACATGGGGGGAGGGCAGTCAAGCTGTATCATCCCAGTTCATCTCGGATGATTTTTGTGGAGCTTGTAAAACAAAGCAAAATCTCTCTGTGGAAGCTTCCTTTGAGCTCTTGGGGCAAAAAGTGTGTTCTGTATGCATCAAAGCAACATGGTGTGGAAGGATTTTATCAGCAGTGGCACCAAGTTAGGAAACGTGCATTTGGCTCTTTGCTCCCATGTAAATGGCCAGTTGAAAGTATCTTCCCAATATTCGCAAGATTCTTTTTCCTCGACATGTATACATCCGAACTAGACTATGTTGTTTCCCTGTGTTATATATGTGTGTGTGTATGTGGTTATATGCATAATCTTTGGTCACATTTATGTTGAGTATATTGGAGGTGGTTATCCTTTGAGAGCTGAATGCAACGAAATTTCATTTTAATGTATGCTGATTAATGTACATTTAAAGTGAAAATAAAGTTCTATTCTAATTCTAATTCTAGCTTCTTGTGCTGGACTTCTACACATGCCAGGTGCAACAGATCAGATCCACACGTGAAGGTCCAATTAAATTGATTATTGCTACTGATGCCTATGCATAGGAATATTCTTAGCCAACAGTTGACATCTGTTTGGGGTTAGATATGGACCTACAGAATTCAAGGGAAGTTGGAGTTAACCTGCTTATGGTTATGTAGGGATTCTAGGCTGATCCCTTGTTTAACCTCCACCTCCAGGTTTGGCCTTCTCCTACATATTGGCACGGCAGATCTCTCTGTCTCATCTGCCACTCCTACATCTTGGCATACATGATGATGTCTGGATTTAGGTTGGTTGTGATTGTTGGACTCCAAATATGGATGCCCAGCAAACAGCACAAAGAGCATATAAGGAACAGCTGATGGAATTGGGTATGTCTAGTTTAATGAAGAGAAGGACGAGGGGGGACATGATAGCAGTGTTCCAATATCTCAGGGGCTGCCCCAAAGAAGAGGGAGTCAAGCTATTCCCCAAAGCGCCTGAAGGCAGGACAAGAAGCAACGGATGGAAACTAACCGAGGAGAGAAGCAACCTAAAACTAAGGAGAAACTTCCTGACAGTTAGAGCAATTAACCAGTGGAACAACCTGCCTCCAGAAGCAGTGAATACTTGAACACTGGAAGTTTTTAAGAAGAGACTAGACAGCCATTTGTCTGAAATGGTATAGGGTTTCCTGCACGAGCAGGGGGTTGGACTCGATGACCTCCAAGGTCCCTTCCAACTTTATTATTATTATTATTATTATTATTATTATTATTATTATTATTATTATTATTATTATTATTATTATTATTATTATTATTATTATTATTATTATTGTTATTGTTATTGTTGTTGTTGTTGTTGTTGTTGTTGTTGTTGTTTTGTTGTTGTTGTTGTTATTATTATTATTATTATTATTATTATTATTATTATTATTATTATTATTATTATTATTATTATTATTATTATTATTATCCAGCAACATAATCTTGTTTTGGGCACCTCATGTAGAAAATAGCAGCAGCAGCAGCAGCACCACAGGAAGACTGTTGCTGTCAGGACTTTGCAACATCACACTAGTCAGTCACCTGTAACCAAACACAAAACATGTTGCTCACTGACGCCTCTTGGGGATTGGTTCAAAGACCACCCAGTTTCCTCATCTAATGAAATGGGGAAAGTGCTCTTTGGAAGGGAGGAACTTCTTTATAAATTAGCTTATCTATTTTTCCTACATTGCAGCATAAACCATGGCCTTGGGCCTGAGCATCTGAAGGACCACCCAACTCCAATGTGTCTCTTGGCTTGATATGCTTGGGAAGAGGGGGGGTGCTCCTGGTCCCTTCAATGAAAAGCTGTCAACCTGAGGGACCAAGGAAGTGGACCTTCTTTGTCGCAGCCCCATCCTCTGGAGTAGCATCTCCCTGGAGATACAGATGGTATCCATTCTTGTGGACTTCCAGATGGTCCTTAAGACCTGGCTCTGTTCCCACACATGTCTGTGGAAGGTTTAGGGACTCCTGGCCCGCTTTATATTATTATTGTGCCCATTTTGAGTCCAAGCTGTCCTCCTTTCATTGTTTTTAGCTGGTTTGGATTCTGTAAACTGCCCAGAGGATGTTGGAGTCGGCGGCCATAACAAATGTAATGAAATAGATAAACAAAGGAAGACATCATGCACGGATGGCATTATCGAAGCTCCTTAATTAATTTCTGGAGATAGGTCATCTTTTGCAGAAGTAGCCATTTGACAGCGCTGGTGATTTATCATTTTTATATCTTCCTTTCATCCCTAGCACTTGTCCTCTAAGTTTCAGCAAAGCAGCCCTGTAAGCTGTGACTATACGGCACAATCAGCCTGCAAGACCGGAATGAATAGTAAGCTAATCTGGACCCATTTTAAATGCACGCAACACCTGTGAAAAAGACATGAGACTTGGATCCTTCAGAGACCCAAGTGCCATGCAGTGATTGTCCTAATTGGTGTACTACAGATAAAGTAGCCCAAATAGAGGCAAACATGTATCAGTGGTTGTACAGTGGTACCTCCATACTCATCGTTAATTGGTTCTGGGAGGCGCAATGAGTACCAAAAACTATGAGTACCAAATAATTTGTCCACATAAGGAATAATGTAATAAGTAACAAGGCAGCCGACACCAACAAATCTAGCTTGTGCATTGAGTACTGAACAAACAATGAGTACCGGGGCAAAATTTTCGTGTCAAAATGTGTTGAGTACCAAATACGACAAGAGTTTCAAAGCAGTTGAGAACCAAGGTGCCACTGTACTACCTATTATCCCCAACAGTATGGATAGTAGGCATCTTGATATTAGTTCCTAAGAAGCACAAATGAAAGCTTGCTGGAGTTTTGTTTTGTGCCGAGTGGGGATTTCATGCAATTGTTGGTAAATCCATCCATCCGGTTGCATTGTTATATACAGTGGCTTGGCAGGGACCTTAAAGCCAGGCTTGCAATACATTTTGTGAAGTCTAAGGAGACAGAGAGTCTGAACAAAACACATTCCTGTTGTGTTTCCTACAGTTGAGCCAAGGACCACACGGTATGGTGCACTAACAGCTGCACACACTAGAAGAATATAAGAAGTCTGGCCTCCATATTTTTGTTTTCAGAAGAGACTAACAGTGTAGTCCATTTTTTTTTTTTTTGCATTTGGGGAGACTCGGGGCCAAAGGGCTGCTCTGAATTAAAACCACCATTATGTAGCTTAGAAACCAAATCAGAAAAAGGCCATCAGCACCCTGGCCCCATTGATTTTTACCCAATCTGTGAGTAGAATGTTGAGTAGCAGAAGGGTCATCCCTTCTCAAGGGTGTGTGGATTTTCATTTATGAAAAGAATTTTCCAACTGGCACCAGAAACACAATGTCAAGTGATTCTTCATAACCACAGTCCTCATTCATCCAACCGTGGGGCCTTCAGACCAGTTTCTTGTTCTTTTGTCTACTTAAACCCAGCTCAAAAGTCTTTGTCATTCAAGGTTATG